GTGACAGAAAATAAGTCCTCAGAAAAGGAAATGGAGTGAAGTTATATTTTGTCAGCTTAGCTCTTTAAAAAATGGCATTAGTGAGTTTATTAAATTTGTCATCATTTAGAGACTAGAATAATTTTATGGTTTATATTTATTTTTTTAAAAAGTAATACACTTGTAGCATCATTCTTTATTAGGATAAATATTTTTCTCGGTAATAGATCCATTTAAAATATATCTGCTAGTCTATTATGATTCTATTTTAATCCATTAATATTCATGACTCAACATCATTTCAGGGTAAATAACTATCAGTGATATCATTTATTATTTGTGTGACTCTATGCACTAATTCCTCAGAATTTTTAATAGATGAATAAAGTATGTAATACATAGAAGATATAATTCAAAAGTAAAAAAAAAATACTGCATCCTTGTTGCTTCTTTCATAGCACACCAAAAGAACATTTGTGTTTGCTAGTTTTAATAACGTTTTATTACTATAACTTTGGTTTACAATATTGTATATGCTATTATTTTAACTGAATGATGGTGAGCTTTTAAAACTCTCATATTTTCATAGTGCCACAAAATAAAAGATTTAGGTGGCCTTTCCCTCTAAGGTCAGCAAAATATTACCAATTTATTTAGGTCCAAGGAAAATTCAAAATGGTATCATTTAGAAGTCTGTCATTATACAATGTTAAATGACCCATGTCATTGAATGCTCTGATATAAAGCACACTTCCAAAGAGTGTAGATTAAAATATGATATCAACAGAGTCCACATATAGTGTTGTAAACCAATGTTACCCCAATTTAAAAAAAAAAGATTTGTATAAATGATTTGAGATTAGGTATCTGATACCATGTAATGTTAACTTGTATCCTCATAGTTCATTTGTGGTCTCTTTTCTTGGTTCCATTTTCATGAAAATATATCCTGTGAAGAAATCTGAATCTTTAGAGAACATGAAATATCCTAGAGCGTGGCCACAGAGGAAGTTATGTGGATTCCAATAAGGGCAGGCAAGCCTAATGTGAGTGTTACAAGGGAGAGGAAGCCGCGTGATGACTTGCATACCATTTCAATTACAGAAAAAGGCAAGTGGGTTGGCCTATCCACAGGCATGATCCTTTTAGGAAATTCCACTAAAAGAAAACAGGTCTTCCTGAAATGAGTGAGAATGCCTCACACTCCGGGCACTGTAATTAGGTCTGTTTGTGTTCACTGGTCCTTGGCTCTCTCAAGGATCCATGTGGTTTCATGTATTAAACCCGACACTGACAGCCCTTTCACCCTGACTCAAATATAATCACTCACAGAATGAGTATGCCAAAGCTTCCTAAGCATGCTCCACCCAATGGGAGCAGGGAGAGGATCCAGTGAGAATTCACATTTATTAAGTGCTTAAATATCTATGCCAATTATTTCTTGGTACTGGTTTTGTTTTTTTTTTTTTTTACACATTACCATGTGATTTTATTTTTTTCTTTCAAAACTATAGGGAGTACATAGTATTATAATCCCATTCAAATAATGGCAAAAAGATGAAACTCTGTCTCACTCTAAAGACTATAGTCTGTCCTCCAAATCATGTAGTATCCTGATATCAGTCTAAGACATAAATGATATTAGAAATAATGTTGATCAAGTAAAAAAATTAAGGGGTTTAGCCATCCATCTATTCTAATAAATAACTAATATATATATAAGAAATAGGTAGAAGTATTTGTATAATAAATGTTAAGAAATCATTACTATACAGTAAGCCAAAATTAGAATTTCGAGAGAATTTATGAAGCGTATCATGTCAAACACAAGCAAGTACATTTTCTGAAATCAAAAGTTGTTCAAATGTGTACCAACTTTATATTAAGGTTAATATAAGTAATCATTTTAAAAAGCAGTTATGCAATAGAAAGATCACTACATTCCATTTCTTATTTTTAATTCATCTGAAAGCATTACTCATTCCTAATATTTCCTGCTGAAATGAAATTTAACTTAAACCTCTATTGACACTAATAAAATGTAAATTTTATTAATTATAAAAAAGTGAAATGCCATTAAAAATAAAAATATTTCAAGATTAAATTCCAGACAATTTTTAATTTTTAATTTTCCTTGCAGGAAAAAATATCACCCAAAATAGGCCAGCTGCTTCTTTAAAAATAATTGAAATGGTTTGAGAAATAGAAAGTAAATCCTGTGCTTGAAATTAATTTTAATTACTTTAAAGACCTTTCAAAGAGTTCCTTGCAAGGTAATTTATTACTTCTGGAAGCACAAAAATTGTGTTTTCTATGCTGATGCCTCAAAACTCATTTACTTTATGCATGGATGTGTAAACAGCGTGTTTCCAATTTTATTCTGGAATAGTATTTAATTTCACAAGGTATATGAGTCACACAGTCCCTTGATTCTATCTCAAACATGTTGGCATCTTCCATCTTGCAGCAGTTCTGGTTTCTGCACCCTGTCAAATGGATCCTTTGTGCTAATTTGGTAAAATCAGTTCTCATGTTTAGTGTTGAGAGACTGATAACTGAATTCTCAAATGAACTACACATTTGCAGAGATGAAGTACAGAGCTTCATCTGTGGACAATGACTATTTTCCTACAATGTAAATTCTTCAGACTAAGCTGTCAGCATGTGAGTGTGCAACACAAAAGCAGTTTTAACTTGATGACTTTTTTTTTCTTGTAAAGCCATAAAAATGAAATGGATACTGTTATTCTATTTTCTAATGAGATTTTCTTTCTCTTGGAGAGCAAAAGCTTGTATGATCTTTAGAGTTCTTAGTAGATCAAAGTCTCCTTCTTGCTGAATAAAATTTTCCCGCCTACATAAACATTTCAACTTGACAATAGACAAGAGAGCAGCAATGTTGAAAGAGTATTTTTCCCACTAATTCTGCCTTCATATAAAGCAAAGATTTGATAATTTACAGTGGACATTCCAAAATTGTCCTCTGGGATCTGGGAGTTTGGGTCACTCATAGTTTTACACAGACAGCCTTATCATCATCCTGGGACTTCTATTTCCTTGGTGAGGTAATTTCTGAGATGGTCATCTGTGTGTGGTTACCCTTCACTATCCCAGGGGGATGGGGATTTCACTATAAGTGCAATCCTTTTGATTACCACAATGTTTGCACTAAATTACTAATGATCTTTGTATTATCTGCATATACAGGAACAACAATAGAGAAGTGACATCAAACTTACTGGAAACTTGGGAAGATAAAAATATGGAAACTAATAAAAACAACTCTTTTAAAGAGAAAGGACTAGTTAACATTGAAAAATATGGCAGGGAAAGTTGTCAAATAGAGATTGTGGGGGGAAAAAAAAACTATAAAAAGTCTTTTGTGACCACCATAGGAGGTCACTTTCATGGGGTCAAAGTCAGGCTAAAAGTAGCTAAATATGGTGAAACTATTAAGAAGTTGCTACAGAAGTGGTGGACTAGGATGTGGGAACGTCATGGTGTATCATGATTAAAGGAAGAGTTTGGATCAGATAGAAATATAGGTTTTCAGTCCAGGAGAAGAAATTAGTGGTGAATAAAAAAATAAAGACAGCAAAAGAAATGTATGTTGGGTAAATTAATGAAAAAATACCAATGCTATTAAGAGCAAAAGCAGAAGACTCAAACATGGAAGAGATACACCATTCTCACTAAAACATAAAAAAATAAAGGACAACTGAATATTGTTGTAGAGGGAGAGTGTAAGCTAATATGAGGCATGCTTTATGTTTTGAAGAGTCACTATAAAGGATGGGCTATATCAGAACAAAGATGATCACACATACATAGTGGATGGTATCATTAACTTTCAGTGAGGTTAAATGGCAGAGGTGTGAATATTCTCTCAAATTCAATAAAACTCAGAGATGATTCGATGAATTTGGTGGTGCTCCAGAAAGGTGGAACAAACAAATGTGGAAGAAGTTCAAAATCTGGGATAATTGAGCATTTAACTGAGAAGATAGACTGCAAAACCATGATAGTCATCCTCATTGATCAGGAGTTTAAATCCAGCATAAAATTCATGTATGGGCAATTAGGGACTAATACGCATTATTTTGTCACAAAAATCTCGAAGGCAGATATAAGTGGAGGTAATTATTTTATAATAAACATATCATGGTAATATTGTGGGAACCATTATTAAAATCTCTGATGAATGTACATGTAAGTAATAAAAATAAAACAAATTCTACATAGAACAATACGTATGAGCCATTTCATTCAAAATCTAAATGAAACAGTATTCATTTATTTTAGGTATAAATATTTCTACATTTTCTCTTATACTAAATTTATTTATATGTTAATAAAGAGAAAGAGTAAAAAATATATCTACTTGATCAAGTAATGAAGTTAGTGCCTGAAGTTAGAAACTAGGTTTTTGTTCCAAATCTTCTACTACTAAGTTAGATTTTTATCTCACTTAAAAATTAGTCTAATTTCCATACCTATAAATTGGAAAAGAGGATTTTAGAAAGGTGAGGGTAAAATCAAGTGAAATGATATGAAAGTCCTTTGAAATTTTAAAAATATTTCCAATGTGATGTGGCTGTTCTACATTTAAAAACAAAAAACAACTTTCACTAACCTTTATTATGTTCTCAAGGCAATATAAGTGTTGTGGAAAAAAATAATACTACATCCTGAGAGCTGTTTGATGTCCTTATAAGACAAGGTTGTTAAGTCATCTTATCTTTTTCCATTACTTCCTTTCCGTAGTTCTAATACAGACCTATTTTTTTCCATAGTTAACTACTGAGAAACTTTAATTTTGGAACAAAGCAAATACTTTCCTGAATTTTTAATCTCTTTTCTTTTTTTGCCCAACTTTCTCACACCCAGTCATGAAGTCACCACCATGCATTGAACTTCTTACTAAATCTCAAATCACAGTGACTGTGCTACACACAGAAAATTCTTCATTGGCTTAATATAGTTACGGGTGTTAAGTGCTTATATGCTAACACACCACTTACCATTGAGCCACCGGGAATCGTGCTGTTCTGTCCTGATTGGGTGGTGGTGTCCAAGAGTTCGGAAAATGGCAAAGTCTCGCCCCATAAAATCAGCTGCTGTTCCAGAATATAATTCTCCATCTGTGTTGTGACAAAATAAAACCACATACAGATAATTTAATTCAATTAAAGGAAGAAAACAAAGCAAATGAGTTTTATGGCAATAGCATGCTAAAAAGAAGACAGAATCTCTCCATGTCATTCTGCAAGGTTACTGTAAAATCATATTAATAGCTTTTATTTTCATGGAAGTTAAATTTCTAATATACTTCCTTTGTAGTAGGATTTGAATTAGTGAGATCTTGTTATAATTTAGTAAAGACTATTTCTCTTGTCAATTTTCCGGATGCTTTTCATTTTATAACATATTAGGTGAGAGAAGCGTACTAACTTAGTATCAGCTACCATACAGTCTAAAACCAAGTCTACCACATAGCCTCATATGAAACAGAAATGAATATGGAGAGAAGGAAACTTTGCCCAACACAGGCCATAATCATCACACTTTACAATTCTGTTGCACTTGACTCATTTCTACTTAAATTGAATTGACTGTAGTTCAGAGTTTAGTAGTGAGGAATTATAATCAGAAGGTAAAGGATAGAAAAGGAAAAGAACAAGTGAGGAGAAAGAGGAGTTAATATTTGTACTTGCCAGGCAGCCAGGCGCTGGGCTGACACTTTCAAATTATCTCATTTAGTTCTGTCAACAACCCATGACGTAAATGTTATCCCTATTTCACAGTTCAAGAAACTCAAGGCTGCTCAGCAAATGACTAGGTAAGTCAAGGTGAAAGTTCAAACCCAGGACTGTTTAATACCAAGCCTCTCATACTAAACCCTGTCACCTTTTAAATAGCTGACGTTTTTGAAAATTACATTTTTCTTTCCTTTAACAGGAAAAATATGAGGCACTCATATTACTTCATCCAGAAGACATAAAATTGTCTTCCTAATTAGTAAATTATCAGCAAAACAAAACAAGAAAGGTTTATAATCCAAATAATCTATCATGATGACAGTTAAAACTATTCTCTTGTTGATCATTTGGATATATTAATATTTTTTGAATTAATTTATTTTACAAGTATTCAGAGAATAAAATGGGCATAGATGAATTACAACTTAAAAATTTGTATAACATTATACTTCCACAGGATTTTTATATTAGATAAATGAAAAACTCTATAAATCTTCAGTTATAAATGTCTTTGGGAAATTCTTATTGATCTTAATCCTTATATGATATGATGTTCTTTGTTTACATCCCCATTTCTCACTTGTAACTAAAGACTTTGCAATGAAAATAGATATTTGCAGTGGTAGACCCAAATTGATTCCTTTGTTTGTATCTTTTTAAAAAAAAAATATTTGTTTATTTATGCATACAAGAGCTGGGCTACAGGCCAGAGGTGTGGGGTCTGAGAGGATTCACTGGAGACAGAGTGGGGAACAGAAAAGGCAGATTGAGGGAAGTACACTGCTTAGGGGAGCAGCGGACGAGTCAGGAGAGGTCTGCTGCGCCATGTGGGTTGCTCCCTGGCTGGTTGGGGGATCGAACTCCTGCTGCAGTGGCTGTAGAGAGCTTCATAGGTTGAGTCTTAACCCCTTGTGCCACCAGCGAGGCCACCAAATTCATTCCTTTGGGGCATCGTATTTCTCCTCACTTTAATAACAAAATATGGCTTGCTGTGACCATAATATCCTGTAATATTCTATCTGACCACAAGATAAAGCAGTCTTTTTCTAAAAACACATAAATAATATGAATAAACTCTTTATATATTTCAAAGCTGCTTCGAAATATTTAAATGTGTAGTGTCTCCTTGATTTTAACCTATATTTAATCACCATAATATTTTCTTTAGGTTGATATTTTATCATTTTACAACTAATTGATAAATATATATGATAGTTTTTAAAATTTCAGGCAAATTATTTCTCTCAATGTGTATGAATAAGAGGGTGTTAATTAAACATATATGGTGAAAGTAGCCTAAAATGTTCATGTCAATTTCAAATATTTTCAATGGAACACCTTTCATATGGCACCTTGTGCTTTCTTTAATTTAAATCAAAAGCATTAAACTATCTATTGAATCTTATTGTCTGATAGACACTTGTTAGGTGATAAAAATCAGGAGAGGGGAAAATAGAATAACCAAAATGTGAAAACTGAAAAATTTCATTTCAGAATCAGACAGATTATGCACAGCATGTAATTAGAAATGGAAGAGTAAAGAAAGTCATCAATTAACCAATCTTTTTCTTCAGCATTAGCTGGCTATAGTATGAAAAAATTCATAATTATGGTTGTTACAAACTGTTCATGAGAGTATTAAAATAAAATAACAACATAAGAAACTGTTACTTCGACATAGACATGTACTTCTTTTTCATATTCATTTGGTTAATTATTTTAGAACTTGTACTTATTTTTTTGTTATCTACTCCCAATAAGGGAGGCAGAAATCAACATAAATGAAGGCAAAGGGAGAAGGGCTGATTTTGTTATTCTTGTTTGACAATAGATAGGTTTTCAGAGAAAGAAGATCTATTGACTCAATTGTTATAAAAAACAGACCTAAATTGAACAATTGACTTATAAAGCAAAGGTAGGTGGCAGCTTAGGTACAAGTTGCCTACAGTTATAGGAAATTACCTCCCACCTAAGTATTATTTTTGGCAAGAGTCAGAGTGATTTCTGTGAGCTTGAAGGCACCAGATGATTAGGTGACTACAAAGGGTACATTCTTACAGTGTCAATACACAATATCAGCAGCTGTTCTTTTATGGCAGGCCTTGCCTCAGAGTCTCTGCTGGGGTATCTATAGGATTCTCAGCAGAGGTGATAGCTTCAGGAAATCTCTTATTTATTGTCTTGACCCAAAAGTATAGGTAACAGGGTATCATACTCTTGTATTTTCATTAATAATGACAATAATAGGGGGCCTCCCTGGTGACACAGAGGGTAAAGTCTCAGAGCTATCAAGCTACAGCCAGCCACAGGAGCACATGTTTGATCCCTGGCCAGGGAGCTAACACACTTGGCACAACTTATTTCTCCTGTCTTGTCCGCTGTTCCCTTCAGCAGTGTATTTCAGTAGATCTGCCTGTTCTGCTCCCTACTTTGTCTTTGGTGAATCCTCTCACTGTCCTCCAACCCCACACCTTAGCTTTCACCCCAGCTCTTGTATGCATAAATACATAAAATAACTCTTTAAAAATAATAATAAAAATATCAACTCAGAGTACATTTCACTTAGCATACTTGTGAATTTCTATCATGCATTTAAGAATTAACACATTCTGTGGTAATCTGAAATGATATAAAGGCATCTTAGTATAAAGAAATTTACAGTAACTCAGTTTATTTTTAGAGAACAAATATGTTTAACAAAAAAGTTTACTTGCCAAACTTCATTTGTACTCTCTAGGTCATTCATAATGTTATCAAATTATACATTGATTCTTGGGCGAGTGTTAATTTGTCAGTGCTCTAACCCTAAATAAAAGGCTTCTTGAAAATCTGAGGTAGTATATTAGGTATTGTTTTTCTACAATGATTCAAATGGCATTATGGTCAAGATATATACTTTGGATTTTCCATATATACTAAGCTATTAGTGAAAGAAAATATATTTGCCTAATTTTATTAAACTCAAGGAATTGTTCTATATATAATTATATCATCTATATTACAGTTTATGTATATGAATACATATGTGCGTGTGTGTGTGTGTGTATGGATGGATGTATATATTTCAAAAACTGGTCGTGGCTACTCTGTCCAAAAAGGCTTTAAAGTCTACAAAAAATACCATATGGACCATTTGATGTCTCAAAAATAATACACCAACTAAGTCAACTAGTGTTGACAGATGTAACTAACCATCTAGAAACAATCAAATATAAAAATTGCTCTTTGAAAACACTGCCATTCTATCTTAACTGTAAGCTTTCTTAACCATCTCTATGGAAAGCTTTCTTCACTGAGAGGAACAAAAATTTAGTCTACTGCATTTTCACTATTGCTGAGTTACCTGAGAAGTATGTGTTAAAAACAAAAGTTCACATGTACTCTCGACTTTCTGTTCACAGCACAATATGAAGTAAAAATGTGGCTTAGATCACTTAATGTATTGGATTACAATTGCTAAGAAGGGTGTGGTGAGGAAAAACAGAAGGTGAAAAAAAAAATGTTTCCTGATGAAATCACAGTATTACTAACACAGGTGTAAAGTGTGACATGCTTGTGAGCAAAATTCAAACAAACCTAAAGACCAAGCCATTATGCTGTTAACACCTTAAGTAAATTCTATTCACAGAGTAGCAGAATAATTAGAAACAGAGGTATAAAGAAGAAATGTATGTCTTTACTCCCCCCCCCCACACACACACACATATGCTGGACATGGAAATACATTTGTTGAGAGTAGAAGTATGTGGGAATTATTTTTCAATTTTATGTTTATTTAGTACCTTCTCTATGTCAATAAACAGAATATGCTGATTTGTTACTTAGGCTGTCCTTTTAAAATGTGTATTTTGAGTAGTTAATATGCACACATTGTATAAAATTAAAAACAAAACAAAATATATAAGATATAAATCTCTCCACTAGTCAACCTATAGGCTAACCACTGTCTTTTTCTGCAATTTGTCTGCACTTTAATACATAGATCAGAAATACGTAAGCACTCAAACAGCACTATGTAATTGCATTATGTTATTTAATTCTCACAATAAACTAGTAGAATTAGCATGACAAAGTTATTTTACATATAGAAATTTATATATAAAGAAATTGAGGTTTAGATAGGTTCAGATAATTTTCTCAATTATAGTTAATTAATTTAGGGAGTAACTCATGTTCTAATATCAAGGAAGAGTTTACTCTAATGTCAAAATGTATTCTTTCCTGAGTCAGAGCAAAGTTCTAACTTGGGGAATGAACTTTAGCTTTAAGTCTCAGATCCTTGAAATACAGCCTAAAAATATCTCTCAGAAGTGAGATATCTCTAAATTATCAGCACTGCAATGACTGGAGACAACTTCAGTAAGGAAATATAATTGGTTTCAAGTTGTCTATTTGTTTCATGTCATGAAAATGTGAGAAGATATTTAATTAGTGCAAAAATATTCTTGTGTTTACACCTGGCATTTATTCTGAACAGGGAGCTATTTTAAATAAAGGAATTTAAAACAAATCTATAAAAAATATTTACAGGTGGGTAAAATAAGAAATATTACAAAATAAATAGGGAAGCAATTTCATATTGACCAAGTGATTTTTATTGAAGTAGATTTGAAAGTTAACACTACTAACGTGATTTTAGAAAAACGTAGTAAACACTCTAGGATTTGAGGACCTAATTCAATAGCGATGCATGGCTCAGGAAAGAATCCATATTTTCTATGACCTAGGTTTAAAAACCCATGGTATTTGGGGGAGAGGTTATACTAAACCTTGTTAGATTTTACAAACTAAGATGTTTAAGCTGTCATCTGGTTTTAAAGTTTATTACTGGTTGTAATTGCTTAATTATGGCATTGGTAGTAGAAAAAATATATGCTATCAGGATCCATCTAAACAGTTCACAGGAGGTTGGAGCCAAATGCGAAATTTTATTTCCCAGTTTTGAGGAAGAAGCCTCCAGGAACCACCTTGCAAATATTTCTTGTGTGCTGAAATGAAGAGATTGTATTTAAAATCTTTTAGGGAGATGGACTCTATGAATACACAATTGCTGCTCTCAAATATACAATATAGAATCTGTATATATTTCAGAGAACAGTTGTTTCCCTTGTATCTAAAAGTTTAGGAAGTGCAGTAGAAAATATTTATGTTAAAATTCTTCATTAACCAGGGAACATGCTTTTTAAAGCAGCAAATGAGAAAATGCCAAGAAAAGCCTAACAAAGGGAATTAAATGTACTGTGAGATGAAGGATTTATATCATATTTTAAAGGAAACAAATAACTTCAGTAAAGGAAGTCACAGATCTTGAATTAAAATCATACTGCAAATATTTTGAGGGATTTTTTTTACTAGGTCTAGAATAAATGGCTCGGATCTTGCTACTTAACTGATCCAGAATTAATTAATGGTGGCTTGAATAATCTTCCTTTGTCAATAAGCCCTGATAGTTCCACAATTATTTGACCATATTGAATAGGTTAGGGCTGGACCTCCATTTAAGAACTGCTACTCTGAAATGCCTAATATGCTTTTTCAGCCATCTATCCTCTCCTTGGCTCACAGAATTTCCCTTATTCCCTTTTCCTTTGCAGAAACCTATGAACAGTTTTCAAAGAAGCTTGAATATAAAACCAAAATGGTGGAGTTTCATATTCTTTGTGGACTTTGTGTGGTTGCCTAACATATGAACTATGGAATACTTGTCATCATCCTTTCTCAATGGAATATTAAAATAATCAAGTAAATCCTTACGGAGAAACATTCCACAAATTAAAGTTGTTTAGGCACAATTTTACATACTGCTTTTTGAGTAATATCTAACCTTTTTTTCAGCATGCAATTTAAATAAGAGTAGGATGTGAGTTTGAACAAGGTAGAATTCCTCCTCTTTGTGTAAGACAAATTTTAGATTTCTGTGTCTGCACTTAAAGAAGTCATCCACGTGTAATCACTAGGCCTTCTGTGAATAGGAACACTTCAAGTGTGTTAAATTTGCTGCATTCCTTAGGTCTTAAACTTTTGTTAAAACATTCCATAAATGGATCAAATGGACTGAAATTGTCTACATTTGGAAAGCAATAGAGAAGATAATTCATGCTGTAATAGCTTTATTCATAACAGAAAAGGGATCAGTGAAAGAGTGAGAAAGTAAACACTAGGGAATACTGGAAAAACATATCTTCATAGTTAATGCTGTAGTCACTGTGGCTAAAGTTTTATTTTGTTAAGTAGAAAAAGGGTATTTTATAAAGAAAAAGACTGACAAAATTTTATGAACTTGTGACACATTTAGTAATAATATACATTTACATTTTAAAAATCTAGGCTTATTCAAACTTGAAATAAGAAAAAAACTGGGGCCTCCCCAGTGGAGCAGTGGTTGAGTGCTGGTCTGCGAAGCTGCCCACAGCCTCTCCAGTGCTGGTTCAATCCCCGACCACCAGCGAGGGTCCCCCATGGCACGCAGACCTCTCCTGCCGTGCCCGCTGCTCCCCTCAGCATTGTACTTCGTCAGTCTGCCTGTTCTGCTCCCCGCTCTGGCTCTGGTGAATTCTCTCACCCTCCCGCACTTCTGACTGTACCCAGTGCTTGTATAAATAAATAAATAAATAAATAAATCTTTAAACAAATAAAGGAAAAATCATTTAATGAAGTAAAGTATATTTTTTGTTTTTATTTAACAACAGTCCAAAAATGGGTAAAAGGATGTGGGAAAAAGTTTTTATCTTTCAATAAAATGTCTAACATCTTCTCCTTCTTCTGCCTACTTGTCTTTTCTATTTCTATCCCTTTTAACTATGACTAAGCATTCACCACCCATCTGCAATGATGAGGAAAAGAGCAAAAAAGAAAACTAGAAAAGAAAGATGGTTAGAAAAAGGGTAGAGAAAATACGTAAAATGTTTTATTAGATTGAAAAATAAAATATCCAAAGTTTCAAAAGAAGAGTAGAGAAAGCCTTTGTGAACTCAAGGTAATGAAACAGGTTCTTTGTCAATTGTAACAATATTGTACTGAATAAATTGTTTAACAGTGAAGAGCATGAGAAATTTTGGAACTACACTTAACAAAATAGAGAATACCTATCCTTTCTGAATTAAAAAAAAATTAAGCACATATTTTACAAAATGAAAACAAAACCAGTTTTCATGAAATATTATTGTTAATTTCAAGTGGTAATTTACAGTTATCAAGCAGGCAATTTTAAAAATAGTATTAAGCCATTTTGATGATAGAGAATCCCAGACTAGATAGAAATAATCAAAGCAGCATTTAGTGTATAATGTTCATTTCAAATTATTTCAGCCTCAATTGACATCACTCCTAAAATAATTGTGATTCACAATGGAAGAATTGCACATTAAAAGGATCAAACAATCTATTATCTATAGAACATTTACTATTTATTTAATTATCAACAACATACCTATTAAGAGAGATGCTGTCAACAATTTTGGGTCATAAGGACTCTTGCCACGGCCATTTTCAAAATGTGAGTCTTCCAGTTTAAAGATGTTGTCCTGTAGATAAGAAGGGGGAGGATTTGAATTTATTTGTAACAGGAAGTACATGCCAATTAATTATTGAGTATACACTCATGACCATGGGGTGTTATAATTTGTGTATACTTAGAGACTCTAAAGAATAGGACATGTCATGAGATAAGCAGACTAATCATTTTATCACACAGGTATTCCAAGTGTTTTCCAAACGATTCCTAAAAGAATTTCAAATTTATATAAAATGACTTTTTCTTCATTTACATAGAGGAAAAATAGCAAGTCTTTAAACTAAATGCCTGTAATAAAATAAACTTACTTTCCCTTATATACTTTCCAAAGGAAATGTTATCTACCATTAACAGTCACTTTCTACTCTGTCCTTCCTTCAACTTTGCTACTTCTCAAGCATTTTAAAATTACTCATATTGGAAAGTGGAAAGTAACTGAAACAATCTTTATCAATTTCTTGAAGTGAGAAATACCAAACTGCAAGTCAGGGAGCTGTGCCCAGTGGTACATTCATTGGAACAACAAGCTCAGAGGTGATTCATTTGTTTCACAGGGAAGTGCTCAGCTAAGGCCAGAAACTGGATTGAGCATTTGACATAGTAATGCACTCCAGTTCAGAGGAAAGCAGTGCAACAGAAGCTTTAATGAGGAGGTAACTAACCCATGCCTAAGATTCTGTTCTTACACTATGTCTAGCTACTGTAACTTCTATATGACAGTAGAGTAAATTGGGGAATATTTTTCAGCACTCTTTCAGAACATGGTGCCCCAGGATTTAATTAGGTCAGAATATGTATGCTTTTTCCAGGAGGACATTAACTTGTCCATGGATTGAATAAAATAGCTTTTTTGGCAATTTCTCTACTTATTCACATAAAAGTATTTTCTATCTTAGAATAGTAAGTAGTATTCATTTTATGGCCAAAAAGGATCACTTTATTTAACATTTAATTTTTCTGATGGAGTTAATGGCAGTGTTTCAAATTATGACTCTGAAAACTCATTTTAGTTAGGGAGAAAAAGTGAAAAAGGAAGCAAACCAAGTGTTCTCCATTTTTATGACCGTGAGTGAAAATTCCCCATTCTATTCTTTCCTCACATTGATTCGGCATATGACCATTAGCTATCCCCTAGCAATGAGGGTTCTATAGTAGAATTCTAAAATTTACATGGTTCAATAATGGATGGGTTTTCTCAGAACTGTGTCCTGTTGCAGTGGGAAGGACGGTGAGTCAAGAGTCAGGCTCAGATGGACAAATGATTAGCTCTTTCTTGTTCTTCGGTTGCCACTTAATACTATATCTGAACTTCTGGTTCCTAAGGGTCAATGCTGCCTAGGATAATTAATCTCACAGGTTTATTGTTAGAATGAAAGAAGTGAAATAAATCATTGTTTAAAGCAGTGACATAAAAGAGCAATTAATTTTATTCTACCAATACTTCTCATATTACCACTATAACAAAAGAAAATAAAAATTTGACACAAGTTGTTACCATTATTGTAAACTTTCCTAGCATATATTGTAAGAAATATTACTTAAGACAGTTACATTAGTCACCAAATGACAAACTTTTTTACGAGTGCAAATTTATCAAAGATATGTGAATATTAAAATCATAACATGAAACTGACTGACATGTTAAGAAAAGCATAGAAAAATCTCTTAAGAAATATTTAGATACATATTGATAAAAATTAGAAAAAGCCCAAAAGAAATATGCTGAGTAGGTGATAAATACTATACTCAAATTATAGAAAATGTATATGTGATCATGTCTCATATATTAAAGAAGCAGCAGGGAGCAATGGCGTGGTTGAAAATACTGTTATAAGTATAGCTATAAATTTCTCATTCTCAAAAGATAATTTATAGTGCTGATAAATAAGCTACATTATGTCTTGGCTCATGAGTACAAGTTAATAAGACAGTGCCAATGTAGGTAAGAAGTGCTTCTAACCTGGTGTTAAATATTTGATTTACAAGGTAAAGTATAAGACTTCATAGGAAGAAAGGTTAAGCATGTCAGTTATGGGTCAAGAGAAGATGAAAAACTATCCTTTGTCATGGTGTTGGGTAGTATGTTCAAAGCTGGCCTACTTTTTCTTTTTCCTTAAACGTAACTCTATTCCAAACTTTTGTGTATCTACCATGTAATTCTTCTAGATTCTAGTATGATTATTCTGAAGGGTAAATATTACATTTCCTTTTCATCTTAAAAAGGGGGGCCTGGAGTAATTTGATTTCTGATGGGAAGTAAAGGACAGTTTTTACATAGAAATTACCGTAGTGTGAATTCATACCCATAAAACCTAGTAATGGGGTCTAAGGATGCTGAAATCATTCAGAAATGGTGTTATCCTTGGCCCTGCCTTTTATTAGTTCTGGGACTCAGGTAATCCTTAAACCCTTCTGAAAACCAGATTTATCATCCATAAAAGGAGGATAGGAAATTCTCGTAAGGTTGATATGAATACTTATTACAGTAATGCATAAAACCAATACATAGTATGTACTAAAATATTCACTAATATCCTTATGCCATTGTTTAGTATTACTACAATAAAATCCTTTCCTAGATTGGCTATAGCATGACCAGTTCCTGTGTCACAGTGGAATTGATTGCCTGTATTTTTCTCACTGAGAATTAGGACAGGTATTTGAAATATTGAGAATCGTTATTTTCCACAGCTAGATCTGAGTCTAGCTCAAAATCCTTTTCTGAAAAATATATATATTCAGTTAAAAAGATCACTGCTCATCAACTAAAAGAGACACCAATATTACTGTTTCTGTTACCTTGTGAGCAAGATAAATATTTGATGTGCAAAAATATTTACCTATTCTAAAACTACTGTATCAATCTGATTGTCTATTACCATCCAATGTTGTCATATGTAACATATCACTTTGCAAACTGGATGTACTTGAAAGGTCTTTTGTAATATGATTGCTACTCGTTGATTTTCTGTATAAAGAATGTTAAATAGATCACATGTGCAAGCAATAAGACCAAAAAGTCCTTAAACAAATGTACACAATTAAACTGCATAGCTTATAGTCTTACTTACTTTGGTTGAAATGGTTTTCATTTTCAGTAATACATGAACAAAATTCTAGCTGCATGGATTCTAATTGCTTTAGCAGATACTATGAACATATCACATAAGTTATTGTGCCATATTTTATTACATGATTGCATCAGTTTTCAGCAACTATTTCTAACTTTCAAGACCACTCTTTTGCCTTTGTCTTTTGGATTTCCTGCATGTTATTAGTCTGTGGTGAGGTAAGGCATTAGAGGAAATAATAACTGTGCTAATGTCTAATTCAAAGTCTTATAAATTATAAACCATTGATGACATCACTGGTGATAAATTTCTGCAATCTCAATCTTGTCCAAGTAATAAATTTAGGTAACAAAGTTGCAATTTTAGTAATATAATGATTAAAACATAAATGGTGTTTGTAAAAAAAAGAAAAGAAAATTCCTGCCCATTTTGGGCAGGAAACTAAGAACATATTAAATATTTTTAAATTATTATTTCTCTCCTCCAGCTCTTCACAAAATACATCTTATATGCCAGTTATACTGAATTATCAAGTACTCCTTGTTCATATCCTGCTTTTTCTCATCTCTGCCTAAAATCTCTTCTTCCTGCCCCCACCCACCCACACTCAGTCCTCAACCCCAGGGTGAACTTCCTTTCCTTAAAAGTAAATTCAAAAATCACTTCCTAGTAGAAATCTTCAGAGATTCCTGGGTTATAATTTATTAGTTTCCTGTGAACATATCCTAATTAACAATAGCAGAGGGTAAAACTACTGGTTTCAGCAAAGAAAGGATGTAATAGGATCTCACAGGAAATATTGTGGCATACTGCAATTTGCCCAAAGGAGATCCTTTTGTGGATCAAATTCACTCAGAATGACTTCTAAAAAGGTGACTCTAAGACTTATACCTTGCAATGCTATTGCCATGAATCACACGTGGTTTAAAGTGAATTAAAATTAAAAATTCCATTTCTCATTACACTACCTACATGTCAAGTATTCTTTAGTCATGAGACTTATACAGTATAGATGTGAACCTCTCCATTGCTGTGGAAGTTCTATTGAACAATGCAGCTCTCGATCTGAATCTTAAGTCTTTAGTATAAGTGGCAGAATCAGCAATCACAAGGTGTCCAGGGACAGAAAACTGTCATCAGACCACGATCATAGAAAATGTCCAGGAAATGTCCAAGGAGGCATTATACCAAACTACCAGTTTAGTTTTTTTACTTATATTAACCAGGGGTTATGTTATCTATATAATATTTAATGGCAGTACAGATGAACAAATGTATCTGTTGTTCCTTGTATGTCATTCTTCCATTTGAATCACATTTCCTTGGTTTATGAGGGTTCAAATTTTATCCATTATTTAAAGTTTAGGTCATGATACTCAATCCACTAAATGTTCATTGATTTTCTCTAGCACAAAATAATGTTTTCTCCCTGCAACTTACATAGCAATATATTCACATTCTGTCATTTGTTACCTTTAACCCTGATATTCAATATGCATATAGTTTTCTTCCCTATCATATTTTCAAGGTGGCAGACAAACCTTACTATAATCTTTCCACTACTAAGTTAGAGCTTGGAAAAAGAGTTAAAACTCAGTAAAATAAACAATGAATGAAGGAGTAAAAGAATTACAGTGTGACAGATTTGAAGGGACTCTATAGGAAAACTATTTCCAAGAAAGAGCAAGGACATAGCCCTGGCCTCCCGTAGCTAACAATTTGAGGATATGACACAGATATAAACACAGTTATGCAACAGAGGCAAGACTACAAATTTTACATATCAAAGAAAGATTACAAGAGTTTTAGGAAATATGATGTTCTAATATTTTGTTATATGTGTTACTATTACTATACTGTATCAATATTTATATACTTCAAATATAAGATTATTCTTGGTATAAAGCATAAACAGTAAAACTTAAAACAAATGACATAT